CGTGCCCTGCAGGTCGCGGGACACTTTCTGATGAACACGCAGGGGTGATCTCGGTTCTGGCTCAGCAGGCAGCCAAGTTAACTTCAGACCCCACTGATATCCCTGTGGTGTGTCTGGAATCGGATCATGGGTGAGTGTCTGGGTTTCCATCCTTGTTGCTGGGTTTTTTTTATTGTCCCTCCTTGGCTTGCTCTAACGCTTCTCGGGCCGGGATCTTAGAACTGCCTCCTTCATCTCCAGGTGGCTTTTAAGTTTTGTGTGTCGCTGCTTGGAAGGAGGTACGGGGCAAGAGGCACCTCCTGCAGGGCCTGCGCGAAGGGAACATCAAGACTGTTCCTGTCCTTTCTCTTGAGTTTATCCAGGGATTGTTTGTTAGGAATTGGGGGGGGGGGGGGGGGGGGCAGCGAGCGTGACTGCAAGAGACCCATGTGTCCTTGCAATTCCAGGATGCTCATTTGAGATGCACCCCCCCATTCCTGTTTCTAACTGTACTGCTGGCTTTTTGGAAGTGGTTAGAATGACCAGCTAGTGTCACTTTTGCATCATATTTATGACTACCGAAGCAATGCTGCGGTCCTTATGTTCCTGTTTATAATCAACTTTTACAAAGGAAGTTAGGTAGACAGACTTGCCTTCACAGCCCACCTAAACACTCCAAGGTACTTCCAAATTTTGAATTGTAAGGAGACTCTTGGAAATCTTATGTATCCTACAATGATGTAATAAGTAGTAAAGATGGCAAGCCAAGTATTTCTTTCATTAGATCCTATATGTAATCTTGCCTCTGACAAGCCACGGCTTATGCCAAACCTAAAGGCATTTCTAGCACTGGTTTTGAGATGAGCTACTAGTCTTGGAAAGTTTTGACTGTTTAAATATTTGCTGTTTCAGGAATATCATGATCAAGAAGCACGATGGCATCACTGTAGCAGTGCACAAACTGGCATCTTGACCTTTCACCAGTCTGCTTGGTTGTTTCGACACCCTTGCAACAACTTCTGCTTGTTGGACTCCTACCTCCCTCTGTAATATAGCATGTGCTTGTAAAACTACATGTGGGCCAGCTATTAAATGCTTGGTAACTTTCCTTTGTGTTTTAGACTGCTACTGTATATCGGTCAGCATCTTTAATTTCCAGCATATTACAGGACTTGTACTGTCAAGTGTAAAATGAGGTTTCACTTATTTTGCTTCTGTAATGAAAATGTATAGTATGTGGCCTTATATCACTTATTCATTTCTCCAATGAGTGAGAGCACATGCAGTGAGTTCAACACTTCAGTTGGTAGTTGAAGTGGAAGTACACCACTATCTAACACTTTAGAGAGAGAAGTTTAGGAGTCACTATTCCTTCCTTTCAGGGAAGGTTACTTCCTGCTTATTAGCAGCCCCTCAACTGTTTGGGAAGATAAGTTCTGTTTTCTGTACCTCAGGAAAAAAAAAAATCAAACTCATTCAGGCTGCCTCTTGACACCAAAGTCAAAAGAGCACATGCCCCATTCTTCAAGTTCCTTAGAGGAAACCTTTAATCTTGTCTAGTTAAAAGCAGACCGCTTTGTTGTATTGGAAACATCCTGGATTAAAGTTTAACTTTAGTTAAGGTTTCTAGCTGTTGCATTACTGTGTTTGGACTGGAAACAGACCTGTCAAACATAACTGATTGCATGTGAAGGTGCACTCAGGTTCTAGTCCTCAACCCTATGCTGAAAACCTCAGGAGAAGAGTTATTGTGAAAAGCTTTTCCTTTGATGTTCAAATGTAGATAGAAGCCTATCTTGTGTACAGTGAAAGCATATTGAAAGTTGGACATGAGACCATATTTGACCTGAAAGTGACTCAATAAAAAGCTGGAATTACAAGCCTCAATGTTTCATCTTTTAAAATCAGTATTAGAAAGGATTCTTTATTTCATCTTCACTATTGACTACTCGGCATCAGGGGAACAAGACAACTAACATCACCTTTAATAGTTGCAATTATCTTCTTGATAAAAGTTGAGGGAGGCAGGGGTGTAATGTTTATTTGAGTCAGGACTAATAGTTATAATGATTCTTAAAGAGAACTAACCTCTAAAAAGCATCTCTGGTACTTTATTTCAGAAGTTTCTATTGAATTTGGTGCATACAATATAGTGTTAACTGTGACTAAATGCCACTGCTGCCTTCTTGCTATCTAGCTCTGAGCAGAAATGAAAGCCACTCTCTCAGTTTTCAAAGTATTATATTAATTTATAGTCACCAGGGGCCAGATCTGCATGGACTGAATCCATAAGAAACCTGCACTTCACCCCTTTGAAACCTGAAAGATTACAGGTTCCACAAGTTTTCACCGGTATATTCCCAAGTGTCTACGTGACTGCTATGTATGTACTTTTCACTGCTATGAACCCTTGGGGCCAAAGATTTTATTAAGGCACTTTAACAAGCATTAACTGAAACTTCCCAGGTAGGGAGTTAATATTACTAGGGTTTTGGATTGTATCTAAGTTTATCAAAGGGGAAGAGACTTGATGCTGCAGCCCAAAACAAAACTGAATATCAGGCCGCCTTTCACCTCCAATCCTATTCTCTAGACAATAGGTTATAGTGTCTACATGGTTGCCAGTGAATCAATTAAGTCCGAGATAGGGTCAGAGTCACCTTAGCCTAACAGCACAGCAATTGCTAACATTTGTATTAAAATCTGGTTTCCTATATCAGACCAATAAACAAATCAGAGCTGTTAGGTACCAGTGAGGTTTCAAAGACTTAACACTAATCTTGATAACACTATTGGTGAAGACTTTTCTTACTTAAACTATAAAAGAACAAAGTTACAGAAGTGTCAGTCCATTTTATCAATGGGAGATAAAGTATAACAAAGTGTGGACGTATAATGCGGTTCTTTTTTATTGGCCACTGTGCCGAGAAGAATAAAGAACGTCGTAGGACCAGAGACAGACGATCAAAAGGAAGTTTGTAACTCATGAGGAGTGTTGGTTGTAGCCATGTTGATCTAAGAACACAGGCAGACAAAGTTATTTGGGTCAATGCAATATCTTTTATTAGACGAACTAAATAGTTGGAAAAAATGTTCTTTGCAAGCTTTCGAGCACAAACGCTCTTCTTCAGGCATAGGGAGAGTTTGCTGGTGTGCGCCCGCTCTCCTGGGTAGAACAGAAGCCAAAATGCAGGTCTGTGAAAATGCAAATGCATTTTGCATGTTGGCTTCCATTCTACTCAGGGAAACGCACACACACACACACACACACACACACACCAACAAACTCTCCTTACGCCTGAAGAAAGGCATTTGGGTAAATGTGATATCTTTTGTTAGACCAACTAAATAGTTGGAAAAATTGTTCTTCAAGCTTTCAGGCACAAAGAACCCTGTCTGCCTATGCAACTCATGAGGTCACTCTTAAAATGGCTTGTGCATTTTGCTTCAAACTGGATAAGATGCATAGCTGTATTCTCACTACCAAGTCCCTCATGCTACAGTAGCCCTACCATTTTTACAGCAATTATCTAATGCTTTTCACAGCATACTTATTGTTTTCCTTTAGGCTTGTTTTTAAATTGAACACCACCCCTTTCTCCAGCTGTTTCTTATCTGAGTAAGAGTTGTGGTATATGCATGATGTAAATTTTAACAAGAGCAGAACGGCTGAGCTTGCTTAGCAAATCCCTGACTGGATAGACTCTACGGCTGGGACTTCCAATGAAAACAGAAGGCTGGGCACACAATCTATACACAGAGGGATGACTAGATGCCTGGAGGAATAAGGCAGGCTATGCACAACAGAGACTGGGCAAGTCTTCTACAATGAGGGCCTTCCACATTTGTTCTTTGATTTCTACTCTTCTAAGCCAGAATTACTGAGCCGCTTCCACTAGGAGCCTCTACAGCTGCACAGCCCTACAAATCACTGTACAAAAATCTCATGGCACTTCCCTCAGAGTGACATGAGATCAGATGCAATACATTCTAGGGTTGCAGGCGAAGGCAGGTCCATCTCCACTGTTAATTAATCATTGCCATGCCAGTTCATGGTGTTCCCATCCACTGTTTGCAGTATCGATCTATTCCATCCTCAGACACTTCAGGCCAAATCTTATTCCATCTATTAAATGCCTAAGTATGAACCTATTCCACCCTGCTCAAGTCACTGATTAAAAAAAGTTAATATGCCCATTTTTGTTAACACGCCATTGCTTTAAAACTAAATTTAAAAAAGCAGTGAGCAGAAGCATGATCCACACACTTTTGCATTAATTATTTTTCAGGGACTTAAGCAGAGTAGAATAGGATCAGACTTGGCCATGTAATGGGTGGAATAAGATCCAGCTCTGAAGCTGTTGTTTTCACAGCAACTGAAAATGCTCAGCGAAAAGAATGCAGCAGGTTAATACACAATTAGCTACCCCTGCTGTAAAATGCTAGCAGAGACAGTGCCCTTCTAGTTTTGAGCACACTAACTAGACAAGATCAGTGCTATACCACCACTCCAGCTGACCTTACCTTGCCATTTCACAGTAAAATTGGCTACCAAGTAGTAACAGAAATTTTACTGAGACTCCCCCTCTGCCTGAAGAAGGATGCTTGTACTCGAAAGCTAGCAAAGAACAATTTTTCTAACTATTTAGTTGGTCTAATAAAAGATATAACATTTACCCAAAGAACCTTGTCTGCCCAAAAAATGCTGGACAGCTACACATTCAGATTCTTCTTCATATTGAAAGCTGGCTTCAACCCACTGATGCCATCCACTAGTGAGTGTAGTGATTAACAAGCAAGAACTCATGCCGTCCCAAACCATTCCTTGCAGTTTTCACCAGCATTTCTAAGTATTCAAAACTTCCTCCAATCAGGACATGTTTTTAGCAAAAAAAAAAAAACAACCAAAAAACACTAGTTCCCAGGGAAGGGGTGGGCCTGAAAGATCTGAAAGTAGCCAAGGAATCAAATTACTGCCCAAGGGGCGGGGTAACGGTTAAGTCTAAAAGGTCCCAGTGCTTCAGGCATCTTGATCTTTTTTGCTAGCTCTGCCTCGCAGCTCCTTCTGGAAGAATGAGCCCTGTATTCATTACAGCAGCTAGAGACAAATTACAGAACAGACTCAAAAAGGAGCTAACCCAGAAGGATCCTAAGCCCAACAGCAAATGAGAGATTTTTTTTCTTTGTGAACTACTTAGTTTTCCAGGATTTTACATCATGAATCATCCAGACGGTAAGAGAAAAGCTTCAGGTTATAACACATGCACTATTTCAGCTCCTAGTCTTACTGCTTCCCTTAGATACAAGGGGAGAGGGAGAAAGAGGTTTATAGAAGCACTGAGAATGGGTAGAGCTATAATTAGTGAAACAGGCTCTCTGTACCTGGTAGAAGCTGAATGCATTTGTATATATGCACAACAGATGACAGACCTTAAAATGCAAGTAGACATCTTTGTTGAAGGGTTGGCTGTGGCAGGAGACAGAAGACCCAAATTCCAGTGCCAGATCTGCTACAGAGCCCGTGCTCTGTGCAAGTCTCAACCCCTCTTCCTAAACAAATAACAATGATTTCCGGTGCCAGAAAAATTCTTGAGATCCAGGACACGATACTGTTTCTCAAGTTAACAGTGGTGGAGACTGGTGAAGAAGGCAGCAGGGTTAGATCGTGTTTTTGTAGTAGATCAAAGTGAACCCTGAGTGTTTAAACTAAGAAGCCTGTTCAATAAGGTGAGGTGTGATTATTTCCTCAAATTCTCATTTACAGGAGAAAGGAAAGGAACAGGGATAGAAAGGCAGCCAACATCAACACAGAAGAAAACGGAGTACCAAGCCACAGAACCCCCGGATGGAGGGTGGGGATGGATGATAGTGCTTCATTTCTTTCTGGTAAGCAGAGGGACCATATGGAGTTACATCCTCATGGCAGGAGATACTTCCAGAGGCTGTGGATGCTTTCACCCAGAGCTCCTTAGACACATATACATACACTAAGGCAGCCTGCGATATGCATAGGGTTGATTTAATCAAAATTCATGGCAGAAATTAAACAATGAAAAGGAAGGGAGGGACTTTCTACTTCGATGAGTCTGGCCAACTGGTATGCAACGATACAGGTAGAGACTGTGCGCAGAACAGGGAAATGGGTAACTAGTTCTGAGCGGATTAATCTCTGCCCTCTATTAAGCAGCAGTTGGATTTAGTGGTTTTTGCCACTAATCTACAGAAATACACACTTGAGCAGCAAAGATTGTAGTTTGCCTGGTACTGCTAGACTGCTTGAAGACTGTCTTTTAAGGGCTGTCTTGCCATAAAGGGGCATAAGTTATAGCAGCCTCAGATCTCACCTGTAATCTGTAATAGGAGTAATTTGCAAAACTCCACGAAAATTTACCTGCAGTTTGAACATCAACATCCCAAGGAGTACATATATGCTTATCACTGCTACAGCACTCTCAGCCCAAAACACACAAACTGTGGATAGCAACCATCCATCTTGGATTTCCAAACCCATTCTTCAGATCAGTGACTTTCAAGCTCCAAATCACCTTCCTCATTGAGAATCGCTGAGCTAGAATCTAAATTCAGAAAGGGTATGGAGCGGGACCTTGAAGCTAAGAACCCCTGATCTATCTGGAACCAGGGTAAGAGCAGTGAGGGCAGGACCTTGGTGTGCTGTTCCCTGCTCTTTCTGTTATCTGTCCCCTTCTTACACCTGGTCTGTACCTGAGGGGACAAGAGCATCCCTTCTGCAGAGGCTACTCCTTTGGGGTCTCACATGTTGGCAAGAGCCATTTGCATTTACAGTCCCACCTGCCAGCTCTGGGAGTGTGGGAAGAGAGGAGGGGATGAGCCAGGCTGTAAAGCACAACCAACTCCAACCCCACGTCCACCTGCCCACTAGGCCTGTGCGAGTAAGTAGCTATTTGATCTGGCTGCTTCGGATACCAGGGATCTTATCCAGAACTCCAGACCGGTTTCTCGCTTTGATCCGCCTGAAATGGCTCCGAAACTTCAGAGTCGCCTTGGAGATCCGGCCATAGGGTAGAATGGGGAAACCGATTAAATATCTATAACTTTGTTTTTTGTCTGATTTGGATGGGGCGGTAGCCTCTGCTGGGAGCATGCAGCCTGCCAAGTTTCAAAAAGATCACTGCAGGGGTTTGCGGGGAACTGCACCCCAATTTCTTGAAAGCAAAACATGTCATATGTATATTACACCACAGTGGGGTCAAAACTGCAGGGATGGTGGCCCCTGCTGAGGCCACAAAGCCTGCCAAGTTTCAAGGTGATAGGTGCAGAGGTTTCTGGGAAACTGCACTTCAAACTGCTGACAAGCAAAACTCATGACATGGGTGACACTGTGTGTGTTAAGGTGCAGCAGGGCGACAGCTGCAGGCCTGCTAGCCCCTGCTGCAGCCTCAAAGCCTGCCAGCTGTCGAGGAGATCGGGTTCTGCAGCCCTGCACCTCTGGCTTCTGACAGGCAAAACTCATGACATGGGTGCTTGTGCAACTGTGTCTGTCTTGGGGCACAGGGTGGGGGGGAAGGAACTACTGCAGGCCTGGCTGCTAAGCTGCTGTGTTACCAGTTACCAATCAATCATGATTCGCCCAGGGACCAGCTCAATACACAGAACCTAGCTACTAGTAGCTACTAGATAATGAGTTAATTAACAACGATTCACACCTACAAAACCACAGACTAAGGAGAGGAAAGAATCAATACAGCAATCAACTGCCCCAAGACAGAGACAGTCAGTTGTACAAGCACCCATGGCACAAGTTTTGCCTGTCAGCAGCTAGGGGTGCAGGGCCCCAGAGCCCCCCTGCACTGATCTCGACAGCTGGCAGGCTTCCCTGCCACCACCCCTGCAGTTTTCACCCCCACTCCCCGTGCCTTAACACACAGTCACCTATGTCATGAGTTTTGCTTGTCAGCAGTTTGAAGTGCAGTTTCCCAGAAACCCCTGCACCTATCACCTTGAAACTTGGCAGGCTTCATGGCCTCAGGAGGGGCCACCACCCCTGCAGTTTTCACCCCCACTCCCCGTGCCTTAACACACAGTCACCTATGTCATGAGTTTTGCTCTATCACCTTGAAACTTGGCAGGCTTCATGGCCTCAGGAGGGGCCACCACCCCTGCAGTTTTGACCCCACTGTGGCTTAACACATACACGTGACACGAGTTTTGCCTTCACAAATTTGGGGTGCAGTTCCCCCCAAGCCCCTGCACCGATCTTCTTGAAACTTGGCAGGCTTCATGCTCTCGGCAGAGGCTAACACCCCTATACGTTTCATCCAAATCGGACAAAACAACGAAGTTATAGATATTTCATTGATTATACGTTTCATCCAAATCGGACAAAACAACGAAGTTATAGATATTTCATTGATTCCCCATTATACCCTATGGCTAGATCTCCGAAGCGGCTCCAAAGCTTTTCTGAACTGCTTCAGAAAGCCTAAAGAAGCCAGCGCTTCGATCCGGACGTGCTGCTTTGGACGCCAAAGCATCCGAAGCTTCTCCAGATCCAAAGCACGGTCCTAAGCCTTGCACAGCCCTCCTGTCCACAACACACTGAGCTGCTGGGAGCATGCGGGGTGCAGCAGCCCCCAAAGCACTTTAGGGGACATAGGATGCCAGACTGGGGGCAGGGGAGGAGTGCTTACCTCCTCCCATAGGGGCTGGGTGCCACGGCACTGTGAAAGGGATCTCATGGCACCCTGGTATGCCACAGCACCCCAGCTAAGAATCATTGCTCTAGATAGTAAGTTACAAGACCACTTTTTTTCTGTTCAGTCAGCCACTAGAAAAGCAATTCTGGGAAGTTAAGGCACTGTTGCCCCCACAGCACAACAGCTTCTAACCATGGAGAACCAGGAGTTTATCACCACTAAAACACTAACCTGTTTTGCTAGTCTGTTAATTACTAGTGAGGTTTCAGAGAATTAGCAGTGCTATCCGTGACAAGAACATCTTTTTGTTTTGAACAAAAACTAGTCCTAGAAACGCCAGATCCACTTTATCAAAAGGGGCTGAAATGTAACTAACCCTCAAGGCACAAAGCTATTCTGCTCTTGGTTGGAAAAATGCCCAGATGTGTGTCAGTGCCCCTTTAGAATTTGATGAATCTGAAATTCCAGCTGCACGTGTTAGACACCTCACCACTGAATACATCATACACTAGCCCTCTGTGCTAAATATTCCCATCTGACACTAAACATTACCCAATGGCTCAGAAGACCTGTCCTATCCCCATACTGTACCTACTTATTTAATAGCCAAGGGGTGTACATGTGGGGAGAAAATGGGAATTCTCCCCTACCCCCACCCTTGTCCTGACCTCTTCTCCTGCCACATGAAGGTTTCACAGTACTGAGGAACAGAAACAAGACACATGGCCAGGAATCTGTTTTGTATAACGAGTAACACCTCACTTCAATCTGCTTTGAATTTAGGTAAACGTGTTTGTGATGGGAATGCTAAAGACTTTTGGAATTTTCTTTGTGGTTTTCCAAGAAGAAATTGGAGGCTCTTCAGAGAAGATCAGCTGGATTGGCTCCATCATGTCCTCTCTCCGCTTCCTAGGAGGTCAGCAGGAATCTGTAAGGTTAACAAACTACCAGGAAACAGCTCAAGGGCCTTTCAATTTTAAGGGCCCATTTTTTAATATTCACTGGCTAACAGGAAAGAAGATTAGTTCACTTAGATTAGCGAAGACTGCAAACTACAGCAGTCTGTGATTGAACACCTGGTGGCATGCTGTGTCCCAGGATGAAATGGGGATGGACTCTGAGTGGCTCTTCAGGTATGGAGTTGTTCACTCAAGTGAGAGGCTTGTGCCAATATATACTATTAATGCTCATCTGTGGAAGAGCAGACTTCAGTCTCTACACCTGTGAAACCAAACCCTTATTTGATCATGGGCAGGCTCTTGTCTACACTAATACCTCTGTCACTACCACGCTGCTCTGGAAATTTAAGGACAAGACAGTTTGCACAACTAGTCTCTGGGTCACTATCTCTTTGGAAAGGATCTATCATACTAGATCTGATGCATTTCAGGGTATTCTCTTTTTTTAATGCTTCAAAACAAAACAATCCTTTCCACCACTAGATAATCCACTATAACAGTTGAGCGATGCCATCCACAGGGAAAACTGGTTAAGGAAAGCCTTAAATCTGAATGCTTGATAGTTGATTACCATTTTCCTTCTCTATGTTAATTCTTAGAGCAGTGTGCAAGCTCTCTTTGCAGGTCTGACAAGTGCATAATCAAAAAATAATAATCCTATCCTAGATACTATTTTGCCTGGTGCTGGCCTATATACCTTCCTACCCTCCAAAATATTTAAGCTGCGCTCTTCAGTTCTATCCTAGTCTTGAGTTTTCTCAAGTACAACTGACTAGGCAAACACTGACCCCTCCTGGTCACTGAGTATAACCCCTTCTCTCATCCCATCACACTTTTCTTGAGATGAAATAATCAATTCTCTCACTCTCAAACTGGATGCTGGTTTTTGCAGTTCTGTGTATTGACTGATCAAATCAAATCAATCAGATTTGTCCAAATTCTCCAGGGCAATGACAGAAATTATTAGCAACTAATAGCAACATGACTGTATTAATTCCCTCTTTCTTCTACCCACAGAGCCTACCAAATAACATATAACTCATTGAGGGAGTGAAATGCTTTATTATGCAGCCTTAATCACTAGGTTACTTATCAACATTCTTAGCCTTGCATAGCGGCTCTTTTAGTATCCATAACATTATATCAGATCTGTTTTGTTATAGTAACTTCCCTTCCTTTCCCTTCCAGGCCCACTGGCTAGTGTAACTGCAGAGAAGCTGGGAGAGCGATTAACTTCTGTCATTGGGGCAGGCCTAATTGGCAGTGGCTGCCTGATCAGCACACTGGCTACTAGCATCTCTTTCCTCTGTGTGTCTATGGGGCTTCTGCTGGGTGAGTCTAGGTTTCTACTGCTCAAGGTAGTTCAAAAAAGGCATCTGGAATAATTTTCATGAGTTTATACTGAAACCAACTAACTGTCAATCCATGTAGCCACCCAATGCCTTTGTTTATATTACAGTATCACCCAAAGGCCCCAGGCAAGATTAAGGATCCATTCTGGCCCATACCTCGCAAACATATAATGTTTATAGTCCTTTCCCTGAAAGCTTTAAACTCCAGGAATGGCAAATGCCAGCTAACTTGTCAGGACGAGTC